TCACTTTCAAAGCTGTTTTCTGTTGGATAATAAGACATATGCACCTTTTATTGCATGCTTTACTACAGGTAATTCACTATTTCAAGTTTTGGCTGAACTGTCTATATTTCCTTTTATTCTAATGGGCACTTTTTTTAGCTTGGTTCAGACTTTCCCAAAACTTGGCACACCTTGTGAATTAAATCTATAGAGTGATTCATGAATGGTTAACATTTGGAGGAATGAGGATTTGAAATCCTGTTTTGTTAAGAAAAGGTCTAGTTGTTTCCATAGCCATTTTTTTTTTCTGAGAGATGTGGTCGTTTCTGTAACTTTAGCATTACTCTGTTATTAAACTACTAGAAAGGCAGCTTACTTCTGATTTGGGGGGGGATGGCTTTTTAATCAGGAATCAATTATACTGTAGACTAATGGTACTGAGCTTAACAATAACAAAAGTATGTGTGGGGAATTTATATGTAAACATAGGCTTGTGCTAGCTGGTTTTAATCATATTGGCAGTTTTATTTAACTGTTAGAGGCGAATCTAACAGAATGATGTGTTGAACTGAGCTGGAAAGGGGTTTGAGATCACTGTAGATGTAAAAGATGGCATGAATAAAGTGCATTTTACAGCGCTGAAGAAGCTGCAAACAAAATGAAACCCTATGCTGCAACAGAAATATTAACAACATTTTCTGTTGTTCTGTAGCATCTCTTAGGATCTGCATATCAATTATTTGTTAAACTTCCATCTGAGTTCATGACAGTCATTTATTCTGAGATATCCAAATTTCATCTTTGTATGCAGCAGTCCCTGTAGCTGTACTCTCCAGTGTGTATAAGTTTAAATGTATTTAAGTGAGTTTAAAAAGAAAATACAAATCAACCTAAGCAAAGATTGTTGTTTGATTTATCTAGATTCTATAGATAATAATGCTTCTAGAATTCAACTTTGTAATTTTCTGGAAGCCAAGAGTTCACAAAAGAGAGGAGTATAAGTAAGAGTGATTTAAGAAATGATCTTGTTTGGCATGACAAACACTTGAGCAGTAAGTCCATGCCTGTTTAGTGTTCCCTTCAAGGGAAGCTTTGAAAAAAAAAAAGAATGAAACTATCACTTTGTGTGGTCAAGCAGATACTTGGAATTTAACCACCTGTGTTAAAGGCTGTTGCTTTGTGTCATTAATGTCTTTGGTTTTAGTTAACAGCCGTGTGCTTGTGAATTACTGCTATGAGATAACATCTAGGCGACCAAATTCAGAAAGAGTAAAGTTTTCAACAATTTTTTGCTTACTGTAATGTTATGACTTATGTGATAAATGTTATGTTAAAGAGCTTTTAAATGTTAGTTCTATGTAGTGCAGTCAAAGTTTAGAAATACCTAGTGAGGAGACAGACGCTTGTTTTATATATCTCTTCCATTAAGCTCCAGGTGTTCCCTAAAGTATCAAGTGGAAGCATTCCCCCAGTCATCCTTTCCATGGTTTAAAGGAGTTGTTTTAAATTTATAAATAATATATCTATGTATGTCAATTATTCTAGTGCATAAATTACATGGAGAAGTGTGTCATTAGGTAAATTTTTCTGTCACCAGGAGGATGCCTCTGGCAGTGTGTTGTGTAGACCAGAAAATAGGTTGCACGGATGAGCTGAAAATACACATGGCTCTATTTTTATTATTTATTGTGTGTGTTTCTGGAAAAAACCTTTAGTGCAATCAATTTTTAAATCTATAAAAAAACAGTAGTATCTGATTATCTCACTTGAGATAAATATAAAATAATTTAGTCTGCTTCATGGTCTTTGAAGGCTAGAGAGTTCTTAAGAAAATGACTGCTTGAATTTAGGAAGAACTGATGCAAAAAACAGTGCTACATATTTACATAGTACTGTTTATATTACTGTAAGCATGTTGTAGTTCTGCACAAAATTATCCCAATTGTTAGGAGAGTGGCTTTTTTTTTTTTTTTTTAATGACTGCAGTATTAAATTCTGTTTTCTATCTGTAGGGAAGCTGACCGTTCCTCAGGGGCCAGATTTTCAGTGAAGCAGCCGTGCTGTGTGTCACGCTACATAAGGCCATCCAAGGGCACTATATGTTGACTTTTATAAGAGAATATCATACTTCACTGTTATGAGAGGTATAAACTGGTAAAAGGTTATATGATCAGTTCTTCCCTGTTTTCAAAGATTATTTAAAGAGGACTGTCTCAGAAATGCCCCTAGACTGTGACATATCTGATTGCAGTTTTTCTTTGGGGCAACTGGCATTAATTATTGTGGCTGCTGTAAATCTGAAGACTAAGGCAAATGCAAACTAAAAGGGGTGAGGGTGATTAAGATTTTTGCCCTAAAACTTCCATGATCATAGCTGATAGGGTTACATTGTGAGGTTAAAATTCTCTTGAACAATGACACATTTTTGCAATGATGTCTGAAGTTCTCATTGATGGTATAGTAAATACTGAATCCTAAAAAATGCAAGGGAGGAGTGCACTGATTTATATAAATACCTGTTTCTTTTCTTGTTTTTTTCTCCGTATTCTGAGCAGTAATATGGAGTATCCACTCTTGGCACCACGGAGCCCTTTTTTTGTTTTAGTCTTCATTTTCATTATGATCCTCCTAACTTTTCTGTGTATTTCTATTTTCAGACACATGCTACAGCAGTAATGATTTGTAATGTGTGTTTTTCCCCAATGAACCCATGTGGCTGAGTTAGCTAAAGAAAATGCAAGGAAACTTTTCTCACAACTTTGCATGAGTTGAAATGAGCATAATTTGTATCATTCACCTGTCTATGAGAACAGCAAATCATACATCAGTGAGTGAATGAAATTAAACAGGTGCAGACTTAGAAGCAGAAACTAATACGACGCTGGCAGACACACAGCTTCGTGTTGTAGTTATATGATGCTTCCCTGCTGCTACTGTATGATGTCAGTAAAATTGAATACCAAATGTGTTTTGTCACGATCTATTCTTGTTTTTTTAAGTGCAATAAGAGCTTTCACGGAACATAATTTTTAAAGTAAGTTTCTTTTGAATTCTAATGAGAAATGTTAAATGTGTATCACTCTCCACATGCACAGGTTACTTCAATGAATGTTTTTGTTTGAAGGCATAGGCCAGTCCACTACTAGTAAATTTGTATTATGGTCTACGTTTGGTGTAGAAGACCCTGATGAATAAATGTAATGCAGATGCAATGAGAACTGATACGATGCTTTTGAGAGTGACTGGATCATCTCCTACAGAAATAGACAGGAGGCTCAACACAGAGCGCTGCTAAGGCTTAGCGAACTTAGTGTCCAGTTCTGGCTGGTGCTTTAGAACTAGAAAGCCTTCAGCCAATTTCTTGGGTACATAGTTATCTGTGAAAACCTTAAACACTTTGATCTCATTATGCAGGAAGGTTAAGAGAGGGCCTATGCATAGACAGGTGCCCAGAGGTAGACTTAAATTTTACAGGACCTTAACCTAACATTGAGCTATCCCACAGCCAGGGGTGGAAGCTAAAGCAAGGCAAAATGCATTGCTTTTTAACAATGAGGGACATCTAACATTGCTGTGAGTTGTCTTAGTTCTCACTACCCCCCAAGTGCTTGAGTTGGTATAATACAAATAAAATTACCTTAATTCTGAACTACTCTACTGTTGTCTTGGACCTAAAGAACACAGGTTACCTCTGTATGTGCTGAAATATTGCGGGAGGTACCAGACACGACTTCTGACTACGTTACTTTTTTTTTTTTTTTTAATTCATCTCTGCTAAAGACTTGTTACATGAATTAAAGTAATTATATTCTCATGGCTTTGGGAAGCAAACCTTCCTTATGACCGTCTGGTTAACTGTAGAGATAATTTTTTTCTTTAGAACATACAGCAGATGTGTCCGTAGTTACCTTGCATGTTAGAATACCTTTCTGCTTCAGTTTAATGCTACTCACCTCACTCCAGGACAGAAGAGGTTAGAGAGACATTTCAACTTGAAGGAAGCTGTTAAAAAATTGGGGGTTGCTCATTAGCCTTTTCAAACTGTAATGATCTTCCAGGACTGTTTCAGAAATACTTCAACCATATTGTCTTGAAAGAGCTACTAGCCTGCCAGCGTTGATGAATAATTGAGTATTGTTATGGTACAGTACCCTGATGAACAATGTTTTGATTAATTCTACTGGAATTTGATTATGGAACTGCTAACTTGATTCTGTATACAAATAAAATAAAAAATTCTTGTGTATGAGAATATAATATAGATTACTTTTCTTTTTTCTAGATAGTGACATTGGGAATTTATGTGTATAAATAAGGTCTTCCAGCTGTTATTTATCAATAAAACATTGCTAGTGGTGCCTGCTTCTCTGATGTGTGTGATGCCTAGATTTTTCCCTGGGTCTTCCCTTCCCAAATTGATGCAAGAAGGTTAGGGTGCCATGGTGCTAGCCCCAGCAAAATTACTGCAGTCCCAGTGCTGTTCCTGCTACAGCCCCACCTGCTTCTGCATGTGGTGTTCACTGGCCACCTCCTCAGTTCCAGGACCTTTTCCACTGAGATTGCAGTTCGCCTGAGAGCGAAAGAATGTTTCCCTTCTGTCAATGAAGTCTGATTTACCCATTTTAATCTATGACACATTGGTATCTTGCAGAACATGTTCAGCAACTCTGATAACCTGACTTTGAATGCTCTGTGAGTTTTTGATGGTTTTCGAAGTCAGACAAAACGTTAGTCGAGTCAGGAAGCTGGCTATCTTGTTTCTCTGCTGAAAATAAGTTCCATTTGTGAAGATTATGAATGTTACTTTTAAGTGACAGTCAGCTGATGTAGCTCCAGTTCTTCCTTGTAGGCTTTTTATCATATTCCTACCTGTTGATTTTGTTTTTAGAGTACGTGAATTTTCATAATTTGATTTCAATTGTTCATATGTCCCATTACAGCATGTAACATAAGACATAAATAGAAAAAAAATCCACTAGTATGTTGTGATACATTGGACATGCTTCCTGCATCAGAAGTCAATGGATGATGTTGAGATCTGTTTGTTCAATTGGAAAAGCAGGTATGGTGGCAATATTATGTGTTTAGACTTCTGCATTAGTAAGAACGAGAATAGCAATAAAAGTCTGAAGATTCTTGGGCACTTGATTAGGGGCCCAGTATGGGAAATGTAAGATGATGTCTGCTACAGATGGACACTCTCAGGGGGACAAGTTTGTGTGTGCTTTTTATGATAATACTCTATGAAAAAAGTGCTTTTCTTTAGATCTTGTTTTGAAATGTTTATATTTCTCTAAAGCCTCTTGGAACATGGTGTCCCAGGGTATCAGGCAAGTTTGACCACCCATGGCTTTTGAGTTATGTTAGAATTTAAATGTCACGTCATCCTAGCTAGGAAATCACTGCTGTGTCCAATGAGCTTCAAAGTTCACATCAAGGTTTATTAAAAAAAAAAAAATTAAATCACAAAAGGAAATTTAAAAAAAATTGAAAGTCCATGGGCGGCTCAAACAGTTTTCCTTCAAATGCTGCCTCACATATTGACACAAGTTCATTATTATCTGGGAACCTCTGACACACTGGGCAAATAGTTTGGAATTGAATCCACATTTAAATGTTTCCTTTCACTAGGATTTCCTTGTTTTGTGATGTGAATATTGAAAGATTGATTTTTACTTTTTAAGTAATTATCAATATTATTTTCTGACATGGTAAATGTTTTAACAGAAATGTCACTGGTGTAGTTTATTCTTTTCCTCTGAAATAAATTTGACATATATAGACCTAAGGAATGGGTTTTTAAAACTATTTGTGTGTGTATACACACACTCACACGCGTGCGTGCACGCCTGTGGCTTTTCTCTAGCAGGTTTTTCAAACTTTGTGAACTATCTTCCAAAAATCATTCTTGGCCAGTTTAGCAGTGCAGGTCCCTGCAAGTATTAGTGTAGTGTCTGGCTTGAAGAGCTGCTAAAGGTTCTGAGGTTTTAACCTGCCTAGAAACTATACAATTAATATTCTTTTGGGAGGGTGGAGGTATTGTTCTGCAGTTCTTACCAGGGAGTGAAATTGCAAAGTTCCTTTTAGGACATAGACTGTCCCAGGGAGCCTGTGATGTATTATGAGCAATTGAATTGTCAGTGTTGCAGAGGGATAATTCAAAATATAGAAACGCAAGAAATGGGTAGATTAAGACTCTACTTTTTGTATTATATCAAGTATTTATACCAACTGTTTTGTTGTAATACACCTTAAACAGATCAATGTGGTAATTTAACTTCAACATGTGCAAGCATTTATTTTTTTAAATGGCAAACGCTGTATTCATTCTCAGTTATAAATCTTCTCATTTATCTTTCAGATTACTCTTTACATCAGTAGAAATGGACAGCAGCAGTTTCATTCAGTTTGATGTGCCTGAGTACAGCAACACTGTTCTGAGCCAGTTAAATGAACTCCGCTTGCAAGGAAAACTATGTGACATAATTGTGCATATTCAGGGTCAGCCATTTCGAGCCCATAAAGCTGTCTTAGCTGCCAGTTCTCCATACTTCCGTGACCATTCAGCATTAAGCACCATGAGTGGCTTATCAATATCAGTTATTAAAAATCCCAATGTTTTTGAACAGTTGCTTTCTTTTTGTTACACTGGAAGGATGTCCTTACAGCTGAAAGATGTTGTTAGTTTTTTAACTGCAGCTAGCTTTCTGCAGATGCAGTGCGTCATTGATAAATGCACACAGATACTGGAGAGCATTCATTCAAAGATCAGTGTTGGTGACGTTGACTCTGTCACTATTGGTGCTGAAGAAAATTCAGAAAATCGCAACGGAGTTAAAGACAGCAGCTACTTTGCCAATCCTATCGAGATATCTCCCCCCTATTGCTCTCAGGTGCGACAGTCGACAGCAAGCAGCGATCTTAGGATGGAAACTACTCCAGGCAAAACGCTACGTGGTCGTCTGCAAGAAGAAGGGCATTCAGATCGAGGAAGCAGTGGGAGCATCTCAGAATATGAGATTCAGATTGAAGGTGATCACGAGCAAGGAGACCTGATAGTAAGGGAAAGTCAGATTGCAGAGGTGAAAGTTAAAATGGAAAAGTCTGACAGGCCAAGCTGCTCTGATAGCTCTTCCCTTGGCGATGACGGATATCATACTGAAATGGTGGATGGCGAGCAAGTGGTGGCAGTAAATGTTGGTTCCTATGGGTCTGTCTTACAACATGTTTATTCGTTTACCCATGCCTCATCACAGGCTACAGGTGTGTCTGAAGCCTTCGGGAGCCTGAGCAATACGAGTCCTTCGAGGTCAATGCTGAGCTGTTTCAGAGGGGGTCGTGCACGCCAAAAACGGGTATCCAGTGGTCACTTGCACAGCGATGTTCAGGGCTTGCTGCAAGGGGCTGACAGTGAATCCATGGTGAGTAACCCAGGATATGAAAATAGTCCACGGGAAAGAAATACGAGAGGTCATTGGTATCCATACAGTGAGAGGTTAATTTGTATTTACTGTGGAAAGTCTTTCAACCAGAAAGGGAGCCTTGATCGACACATGCGATTGCACATGGGAATAACTCCTTTCGTGTGCAAGTTTTGTGGGAAGAAATATACCCGCAAGGACCAACTTGAGTATCATATTCGTGGTCACACAGATGACAAGCCCTTTCGCTGTGAGATCTGTGGAAAATGTTTTCCTTTCCAGGGTACACTAAACCAGCATTTGCGAAAAAATCACCCTGGGGTAACAGAAGCAAGAAACAGGGTAGAGTCTCCAGACAGAACAGAAGCCTTTGTGGAACAGAAAGTAGATAATGATGCTTCAGCTTCTGAAGCTATGGATTCTAGTATGGAAATTCATGCAATGTCTAACACATCTGATTAAAATATTACGTTCTAAGTGCAACACAAACAAGCACATTACTAATGTATTTTTTAAATCTTTTATTCTTTTAGTAATCTTCAGTACAAGTATAACAGCCTTTTAATTTTCCTGACCTTCTGGAAATCAGTTTGAAATGGTTTCTGGAGAAGACTACATGAGTATTCTTTGTTTTTGAAGGAGTCTGGGTTGTTTGGGTTGGTTTTTTTTTTACTTTTGAAGATGCTCAGAATATAAAAGACAGTGTGCTAGGGATGGGATAGGAAGAGTCTGCTAAAGTGTCCCTACTGGCTGATCTGGCAAGACACAAATTCCAGAGGCGAAGGATATTAGAATAAAATTGGCAGCTCTGCTGCATACACCAAGAAGCTGTAATCTCCCTTAATTTATTTCCTAAATCCTGTTGCTGGTAATGAGTTACACAGCAGTGAGGAGTGAAAATATTATAGCTTTGACTCCTTCTGTGTGTCACGATGAAATCTGTTTGCTTTTACTAACTGTTTTTGGTAGTTAGTCTCTTTATATATATAAATTTGCTTTATATATATAAAATGCTTTCACTTTTCCTATTCTGGTTGAGGTGGATGTAAAATTATGCCAAGGTCTATATCTTGTACCACTCTTTCAACTGCTGGGTCTCCTCTCTGCTTGGGATTTAGGACTTTGGGAGGATGGTTTTGATTTTAAAAGAATGTTGTTTGGTTTTCATTTTATTGAACTATTACTTTGTGTGCAAAAGTGAGCAAAGTTAATTACCTTGTTTTAATAGCTTTGCTTTATAACATATGTAAACCAAATGCCATAAATCTATTAAATTATGGTTAAATTGTTGAGGGGTTTTGTTAGTTGTCCAGAATGCAAGCTGGACAACCTGTGGTGCTGACCTTTTTATATATATAGAGATAGATATATCTATATATATATATATAGATATA